TTGAGAATAATCATAATAAAATTGGCACTGCTTTGCAATGGCTCTGAGTGTCCCTCCCGTTCCCATCCTTTAACTTTTCTCTCATTTTTAACTCATTCTCTTACCGCCTGTTCTAGAATTGTCGTGCCGGCCGCGACAACTGAGAATCAACTGGAAAATTTAACAAAGGAAAACAGTGAGAGAACACAAAGAACACAAATAAGAAATGAAATGGGAGACACCACAACAGAAACAAGAGTAATTAAAAGGGTAGTATCAGGATAATATGAAGAACTACACTCCAACAATTAAAAAATCTACAAGAAATGGAGAGATTTCTAGAAACAGACTATTTAACTAAACTAACACAGACTCAGGTCGAAAATTTACACAGACAAATAACAAAAGAAGAAATTGAACAGGTCATAAAAAAAATATTATTAAAAAAAAAACCACCCTGGCCCAGATGGTTTCGCTGGAGAATTTGACCAAACATTCAGAGAACTGACACCAATGCTACTGTTACTATTACAGAACATAGAAAAGGATGGAATGCCCCCAAATTCTTTATGAAGCTAGCATAACCTTGATACTAAAACCAGGCAAAGATAACACTGTTGTTGTTGTTGTTATGTGCCGTAGAGTCAGACCCGACTCCACCCAGTAATACTCACTGTTGTTGAGACAGTGCTGAGTCATAGCGACCCCTCCTTGGGTTTCCAAGGCAGTATCACTACAGAAGTAGATTGCCCAACCTTCCTTCCGAGGAGTTCAAACCCACCAGCCTTCTGGTTAGCAGTCAACTGCCTTAGGTACTATGCTACCAGAGCTCCTAGATAGCACTAAATATGAAAAATACAGACCAATATTAGGAGTATAGATACAAAAAATCTTCAACAAAAATCCTAGCCAAAAGACTCCAGCAATATCCCTGCAAAAATAATACATAATGACCAAGTAGGGCTAATACCAGGTATTCAAGGATGGTTCAACATGAGAAAAGCAATCAACATCATCCATCACATAAATAAAACAAAGGAAACGAACCACATGATCATATCAATCGCTGCACAAAAGACATATGATAAAACCCAATATCCATTCTTGATTAAAAAAATAATCTCAGCAAAATAGGAATAGAAGGGACATTCCTCAACATAATAAAGGGCATATATGCAAAACCAACAGCCAACATTATTTGCAATGGAGAGAGACTGAAACCATTCCCCTTTCTAACGGGAACCGGACAAGGATACCCTCTATCACCACTTCCATTCAATATTGTAGTGGCAGTCCTACTCAGGGCAATAAGGTAAGACAGGGAAATCAAAGGCATCTAAATGGGTAAGGAAGAAGTACAACTATCCCTATTTGCTGAAGATAGGATCCTATACATAGAAAACCCAAGAGACACAGCAAAACAATAACAAAAACAAAAAACCCTACCTGAACTAATTGAGAGATTTAGCATAGTGGCAGGATATAAGATCAAAATACAAAAATTAGTTGGAGTCCTCTAACACCAGCAAAGAAATTGCTGAAAAGTAAGTAAGTAAATCAATACCATTTGCAATACTCAAAAACCAAACTCGCTGCCGTTGAGTTGGATCCAACTAATAATGACTTCTCCTTGGGTTTCGGAGGAGGTATCACTAGAGAAGTACATTGACCAATCTTCCTACTCAGGACTGGCTAGTGTGTTTGAACTGCCAGCCTTCTGGTTAACAGTCAAATGGCTTAGACACTATGCCACCATTTACAATCACTACCAAAACAAACAAACAAACAAACAAAAAAAAACCTTGGGAATACATCTCACTAAGGACACTAACGACCTGTACCAAGAAAACTACAAATCACTACTCCAAGAAACCATAAGAGATCTACATACGTGGAAGAACATACCATGCTCATGGATAGATTGAACATTTTGAAAATGCCAGTCCTATGCAACACCATCTATATATTCAATGCAATCCCAACCCAAATCCCATCAGCATTCTTTAATGATATGGAAAAAACAATCATAATTTTATATGGAAAGGAGAGAGACCTCAAATACACAAAGCACTACTGAAAAAGAAGAACAAAACAGGAGGTCTAACACTCCCAGATCTCAAAATGTACTATTTAGCCACAGTAGTCAAAACAGCCTGGTACTGGTACAATGAGACATGTAGACCAATGGAACAGAATTGAGAACCCAGAAACATAGATGTCGACCTATGGTCAGCTGATTTTTGACAAAAAGCTAAAATCCATTAAATGGGGAAAAGATGGTCTGTTTAATCAGTGGTGCTGGCAAAACTGGATATCCATTTGTTGAAAAATGAATCAAGATCCATACTTCACACCATACATAAAAACTAACTCCAGACAGATCAAAGACTTCAATGTGAAAACTAAAACTATAAAGTTCCTCAAGGAAAACATGGGGGCAAACTTAGGGGCCATAATTTATGGCATAAATAGACTGTCAAGCATAACCTAAAATACATAAACAGCTGAAGGTAGACTAGATGAATGGGACTTTCTATAAATTAAATTTTTATGTGCTTCAAAAGAGAACCTAAACATTGGGAAAAAATATTGGGTAATCACATATTTGACAAGGCATGTGTGGTAGTTAAATTTGTATGTCAACTTGGCTGGGCCTGGTTGAGTGGCTGGGTGGTTGGTGGTAATTATTCCCTATGATGAGACTGGCAATCAACTCCATGGTGGGATCTACCACAAGCAGCTGAGTAGCTGTCTTTGGGATGTGGTCTGCTTCCTGTATATAAGGAGAAACCTTGGGAATGGTCTCTAGTGTATGGCACACTCGGATCCTGCACACAGCCATGTCGTTGTTCAGCAGCCTGCCATGCTCTGCCGACATTGGGACTTACAATGGACTTGAATTAATGGCCTGTCATGTGGTTTGGTAACATCAAGACTGTGCCTTGTTACTCACTGACCTTGGGCTTGTTAGCCTCAGCAGCCAGTAGGTGCCTGAGTGAAGAGATGCCTCTAGCTTCAGTGGGCTGGAAGCAAGAGACAGAGCTGAAGGCCAAGTTCAAGGGACATTCACACAGTCCCTAAAGCCTGGTACTGTGAACTTGGACTTCTAGCCTCTTGACTGGTAACAGAATAAACTCCTACTTGTTAAGGCTATCCCATTTGTGGTATATTCCTGTCAGAGTGGCACTAGGTAACCAGAATAGGACTTATCTCTAAAATTTATGGAAAATTCCAACACCTCAACAAAAAGAGATAAACAATCCAATTAAAAAATGGAAGACATGAATAGACACTTCATCAAAGAGGATATTCAAGCAGCCAAGAAATATATGAAGAAATGCTCACTATCATTAGCCTTAGCCATCAGAGAGATGCAAATCAAAACAACAATGAGATACTATCTTGCCCCAGCACTAGTAGCAAAGTTCAACAAGACAGAAAATAACAAATGCTGGTGAGGATGTGGAGAGATTGGGA